TTTTTTTTTTAGGGGGGGGGGGGACAATCCTGTACGAGGGGAGTTCCTGACGTCCGCACCCAACTCCCTGACACTCACTAGTCGCTACCACTCGCAGGTCCACACTCTCCCCGTGGACGGTGGGAGATAACCCACCGTCTTCCAAGAGCTTCAACATATACATGATATAAGCTCGATGTCTTATCACGTTGCTAGTCTTATTTCCAGTGTCAAGAGTCCTTTTTGACTACAGGTGCTTCCTGCCTTTTCTTGGCATTATCAACTGAAAAAAAATAGAACTTGAATCGTATCACTTGCTTCAATTTAATATTAAATATCACAATACAGTAAATAACCCACGGGTTTGCTTTAGAAGATAGTATGAACAAAAAGTCGCATTGCACTTACAAAATCTTAAGTTAACCGACCCGTTACAAATTATGAGGGAACAATGCACATTTTCCCATTCTAGTGCACAACACCTTTATAATCCGCCTCAAAAGAATGTGTTTTTTTCACAAACATGTAGTTGATTATGTGATTGGCGATAAAGGTTTATAATACTTTGACAACTTTTAAATAGAGAAGGAAAGTTGTACTGGTTTACTCGAGATTTTCTGAGATTTGCTAGTCAAGCGCATCACGTAGGCCTATACGCCAGGCCCAGTCTCCTCTTGATTTGTGCCAACTTCCCGAACACATTTTTAACTTTCAGAGTGAATTTTACAACAAAATGTGTTCATCAAGTTTTCATAAAGTGGTGTGTATATAGAGAGGGTGGTTGGGCTTTCAACCGCCCTTCTGTGACTACCAAAAAGAAGAAGGAAAAGTAAGGGGTAGTCTAAGAAATTATATTAGTAAATGTAACAGCCTCTTCTTGCTGGAAGGAATCCAGAATATGGCAACGCGGCGGCACACGTAATAATTATGTGTAATGGCTCTTCCCCTCTTTTCCCTCCGAATTTTAACGTCAGGCCCTAGTCCCGAAAATTGGGTAATCTCTCCCCTGATTGAAATGTTTTGTTTGTTACTGCCATAGTATATACCAAGCTAGCTCCTCCCGCATCCTTCAAGGATCACTTTCAACCGCTGAAGGTCCAAATTTAGTGTTCACAATTTACCAGCTATATTTCAAAGGTTGGGTCACACTCGCTTGCTGGACACCACATTACACTAGGGGCGCTGTTCATTATGCAGATGTACATCTTATGCATACTTACGCGCCTTAACCTTACATCAAAACGGAGCGTTTTACACTTTTTTGTCCACTTTTGTAGTGCTATTGAATAGACATTTTGGTTATTGGGCATTTCGAAAAATGCTTCAACTCCGCCTTTTTTTGTAGTCTGAGTATCACCCGTAATCCACGGAGCCAAGTCTCCTATATAACGTCTGATATGTCTAGACATGCAGATAAATGCAAGCCGTGCGCAAGCCAATCGGAGTCGACTTTACTACATCGTGACGTCAGTCCCAACTCAGGACTAAATTCGAGTGCAGTGTTTTATAATACAACAGCCGGGCGCGCATTCGCGTAACATTATACAGAGCGGGTGACACAGGTTTTTTAATCCAGTCTATGACGCGCAGTGGGTGAATGACCGAAGACCCGACATAGAAAACGCCCGCTGATTGGTCAAAATCTAGAGGTCAAGATGAGGTTGTCTTGCATAATTAATCAGCGAATCTGCTCAAATACAATAGACCATGGCATACGCCATGGCATATTACGTAAAGACTACCTTTTTTGTTTCTCACCACAAAAAAGTGTGGTCTGAGTATCACCCGTTCTCCACGGAGCCCTATCTATCTCCGGTCGAACGTCTGACGTCTCCTGACATGCAAATTTATGCAAGCCGCGCGCCAGCCAATAGGAGTCGACTTTACTAAATAGTGACGTCACTTCATTCTCAAATCAGGACTAACGCTGTGATTGGTCAATTCGAATGCAGTGTTTTGTAATACAGCAACAGCCAGGAGAGCATTCGCGTAACATGATACCAAGCGCCGCGCGCCGTGACAGTTTTTTTTTTTAAATCCATGTCTATGACGCGCAACCGGTGAATTAGTCTGGTTCCCAGACCAAAAGATTCTGACTATTCCGGGCCAACCTCGTCCCCAGTGCTTACTTTATTTCCAACCGCGTTTCCAATAGTAAACCCTGGATAGGAAACATTCTTCCTGTATCCTGATTGGATAACGCAATTGGCTAGTAATGGATTTTTATCGTGTACTTGGTGCTATTATTCACAACGTGCAGTACATGTTTTCGCGATCATTCGTCCACGCCTTCTCGAATATACTAATTTCCTTTACAATTTGCTCATATTAATATAAAATATGATACTGCATGTTGTCTCGATAAGATCGTAACAGTTTGATTTCAAAAATCGTGTTTTTGTAACTCACGCCGTGCTCGCGCTGCTACGAATTGACTCTGTTTTTACCCCAGACACCGCATACAAAAACAAACTCTAATGTGTAACGCATATCCAGGCACCAGACTGTTCCTCATTTGCATACGTGTTCAAAAATCTTTTAATGTTCGATCTGATCAAATTTTTAAGTAAATTACTTGCTTCGTAATATCATACAGCTATGATAATACAGTTTGATGTTTCTGTAAGATAACATTGACTAATGTTGATCTGGAATCTTCAAAATTAGGCACCCAAATAGCACTGTTAGCAGGCGGAGCCGAATGAAGACCGAGTTTTGGAAAATCTCAGTAACGGTCGTCAAATTCAAAATTGTACATGACGCAGCAAAAAGTTCGCCCATACGATCCGAGAATATTTGATGCACAAAATCGTCGTTGAATTTCAAGTTTTCTAAATGAAAGCAATGAATATTAATTATCAACTCATTTAAAAAAAATAATTAATAAGCAATTAGCAGTTAATTAAACCTATATTATATTCGGAAATACTCGGGCGCTATCCGATTGTCGACGAAACGAATTCAAGGGCGGATCCAGGGGGGGGGGCCAAAGGGGGCCATGCCCCCCCCCCAAAAAACGAGACCAATTTTTTTTTTTTTTGATGTGACATCGCAATAAAGGCAGGCAATGAGTACACCACCATCTTTTCCTCAAAAAAAACATTGGTTAAAGTGGTCAGAAATTGCCTCAGATCGCACCACAGAGCATCTAGAATCCAAAAAATTTTCGGGGCCCTTCAGCGGGCCCCGAACCCCACGCCGTAATTTTTTGGACCCACTTTTGGGGGGGTCCAAAAAAATGTTTGGCCCCCCCCAAAAATTGTGTTCTGGATCCGCCCTTGAACGAATTCGGCAAACTTCGGAAATTTTCGGGAAAAGGAGGAATTCCTCCCGTTTGTCACGTGACGTAAATTGTAATACAATATATTACCGGTGTCATATGAATCGGACTCGTGTGAAAATCGGACTCTTTTTCCCTTTTATTGGTTAAACTCTCTCACGTGACCGGTCCCTCTCCTAATTATCTATGCATGAGCATGCGCAATACCACCAAAGAGTCCGTATTTCATAAAACCTAAATTCATGCTACACCCAACCTCGTCCCCAGTGCTTACTTTATTTCCAACCGTGTTTCCAATAGTGATGGGCGCGTACTGCTCGACACCCTGGGGTCGAGGTTGTGCTTACCGGCCGTGTCCGAAATGGGCTTCCAGAGGTACGGCTACGTCTATTGTCAGCGCGTCCCCGCGTATTTTCAATGGGCGCGGACCTAGACCTAGCTCTAGACAGTTGATTCGGATGCAGCCCTAGCTCTAGACAGTTGATTCGGATGCGGAAATAGTCAGAATTTTTGGTCTGGGAACCAGACTACCGGTGAATGAGCGAAGACCCGATAGGCCAATAGAAAGCGCCCGCTGATTGGTCAAAATCTAGGAAGTCAAGAGGCGGGGTCTTAACTAAAAAAAAAAAAGGGGGGGGGGCAATATTATTATCCAATAGCCTATCCGGCTCCCCCGGTCAAAAAGTGTGTGTACAGGTCATCCTATAGACTGAGGACTTGGGACAATGGGATGTATGCGATAACAATGGGCCCGACGCTGCCCGAGGACCTGGACACTAGTCCTCGGGAGTTCGTGTACAAACCTTATGGGAGCTCTCGAGAACAAGTTAAAGAACAAACAAAACGAAACGAAAGAAGGGAAGGGGCAGGTCCTCATGAGTATAGTAAAACAGGACTGGGTGTGTGTGCCCCCCCCCCCCCCCCCCGGATTTACGCTCCCGTGGACACTTTCATGTTATAAAATCACCTAAAGTAACAGCTGGCGAAGGCCAGAATCAAATTGTTCTTTCTGATTCCTGGCTCTGAAGGATTTGTTTAAGGGGTAATAAAGTCCGAGAACCATTTGACGCATGCCCAACGGTCGACTTTCGTAAAAATAGCAACGGCAAAAAAGAGGGATCCTAACCTGCTAATTAATCAGATTCGAACCAGCCCACCGACCCTGGCAAGTTCGGTAGACATCTGGGCTAGTTAGCAGGAGTAAGCAGGGCCGAGGTCGTGTCTCGAATAAGTAGTTTGTGAAGTTGGTTTTTTTTTTTTTGCTTTACAAGCACTCGGACGATACATTTACTAATGTCAAGTTTCTTCTTTCTTTAACTCAAAGGGTTCCAGGAGTTCAGTTGCAGCTACAGTTACAGTTTTTATCCATCTTTTACCCCGTATTAACACTGCGGCTGATGAGGGCTGTTAAACCAACCATCAGCCTCGCTGTCAATACGAGGTAAGGGCTGACAGACTTCCAAAGCCAATCACAGAAGATAGTATGTACATTGTATCCAGTAATCACGGCAGCTGCAATCAGGAGTGCAGGAATTTGTGCGCGCATGGTAAGTTTGGATGCTTAGAACTGGTGGATGGAGATATTTTCTTTAAAAACAATCAAACAATTTTGCACATCAGTAACCCGAACGTGTGTAGAAATGTGGGCAATCAGTATTCAGAACAAATTATTGCAAAAAGAAGTATACAGTTAATATTTTATGAAATGAAAAATGTTTTATTAATCGAACAGTGCAAAACGAACTTGTTTTTCTTTCATTTTGAAAATGCATGTATAGGCCTATATAAATGCAAGTAAAAAACAAACAAAAACAGACTGAACAGACAATGGAATTAGACCAGCTTATCAAAAATAAATGGAACGAGGCAAGAAAATCGGAAAATAATGTTTTTTTTGTTTGGATAAAGCAAACGGAGAAACCAAAATCTTGAGCAAAGATTGCATTTCAGTTTTGATTATACTAAAATACATGTACACAGGAGTGAAATGTGCCACCTCTTTATCACTTAGTGCAGACCAAACGGAGATTTACTGACTATGGAATGTGCAACTTACATTGTAAGTCTAAACATAAAAGGGAAAAGTCTTCCGCCAAAGTCAGGATACTTAAGAGGAAGTTGATAAAATTGTATAAGCTACACAAATCAAAAGATTCTAAGGTGATCAGGCTGTCCATCAGGCCATTTCATGTAGATTTGTTGTCTATTTCCGTGTGTTGCTTCATTTACTCTTTGGTGGGATAACATGCAATGTACTCTTCTTCTGGTAGCATTAACCTTTTACTTTCTTAATTTGCATCTTGTATAAATAAGGTTTAATACCCTCATGTTGCAGTTTATTCAATTGTTTATTTTCCTGGCACATATCCCTGGCTGTAGTTTATGCAATGCATTGATTCTGTTCGTGGTTTGGTTGCTTAAATGACAAATAAAATAATAACAAAATAATTGTTGTACCATGTACAATGTTCATAATTCAATGTGGAAGTGACTAATTAGTAATTTCCGATTGTTTGTGCAAGAAATTCAAGCGTTTCAAAACTAAACAATCTGTAATAATTTGGCTCCTATTCAAGGTTGTTCTAGGTTCTTTGAATTTACAGACACGCACGTCAAAATTAATGAACCTACATGTGATTTATTTGTTTTGTTGGATTTTTTGGCAAATTTGTTTCCTTCAGACTTTGAGTAGTTCAATATTACATAATCTCTATGTAAACACTCCAAAAACATATATTTTGCTATTATGCAACACATAACATTGATGAAAAATGAGGCAAAATTGCTTCAGCAAGGTTTACCACGCCCACTTGGGGGTCAACATGCAAATTGAGGTCAAAGTAATACATTAGTACATGACTCCACCCAGCTAGCAGGTGCTGAGCGAAGTGCAGCATCCTGCTAGTGGTCTACAGAGACCCCACAGGGTTTGTTTATAACTAATTACAGAGTCCACAGTAAAACTCTTAACATACTCATTAAATAATAGGAATAACTGAACTATCCGAGGGATACGAAAGTTTCATAGCATTTGGGTGTTTTCCAGCATGATATTTTTACTTTCAAGGAAAATGGGTTTGCGATCACTACCGACTTTTCCTAACATGTATTTCGAAAATTCAGTGTTCAGTCTTAGTGCTATCCCAAGAAATCAGTTAATTTTAATACAATTTAAAGGCAATATACAACATTTGCAAACATAAAAAAAACCTACAAAGTTATTATAAAATACCTTACTGAACAGTTAGGCAATGACAGTCTAAAGCATCCTGTAAAATCATGGCACCTTGTGTGCTGACATTTTTAAGAACTCAGGTGGAATTTTGTATTAATTTCCAACGACGGTCGTCCTACCGTTTTTGGGAAAAAGTGGTTTGTTTTTTTCAATACTGACTCCAATTTACCAAATTAATCGGTTACACATCTGTGCATGGGTACAAGCCAGCTAGACTGGTTCCCTTACCTTACAAATCCCCAACAACTATAAATTGCTTGTTTCATCTGAAGTGGGGTCAGGGAACCAGACTACAAGAAGACAATTTTCTTGGTTTTTCCAGCATCTGCGAACACAAAACTTTAAAGAGGTCAGTGTAACAATATTTGCTATAAAATACTAACCCCAAAAATCCATTCATTTCTGAAAATTAAAGCAAAAGCAAATGTTGTATATTTCTTTTAAATGAGTGTGAGATTTAGCATCAGACAGCAGATTTATTGGAATAGCACTTTGAAACTTTCATTTAAATTTCCATAATACAAGTTTGTAAAGATCTATTGTATTTTCAGATATTAATTTGGCCGGAAAGGTGTACATAACACTTTCAAATACTAATCAAATATGGTAAAAATTATGTGGTGTCCGTGCTACATCGTTACACTGTTTTACTTTAGAATATTATGCTGAAAAGTGTCCCAATGCTCAAAAGCATTCTTAAACAACCACAGGAGCCAGAACAAACATTGTTGATAATATCTGGTTACTCTGAGCAACCCCTTATTGATAATATACAAATATGTCCAAATGTCACAAAGCGTTCCCCAACTTCAAGGAAAGACCCATATCAGATCAGAATCAGCCAGCTGACCACCGCAGGCTTGGGGCTGAAAGTAAGCAATTACAATTTTAAGCAAATATGTGTGGGTGTGATGAGATCTACTCAGTCAGCTTGTACAGACTCCGTGCACAAGTACCCCCCCCCCCCCACGTCAAGACAGGGGTGGTTGGGGGAGACCACTGGGAGAGACATTTGAATGCATTGATGACAACGCCCGACACTATGAAGACGCTATGGCTTTGTGCACGTTCAGAATAAAAATAACTCATACATACTTCATGCTATACGTGCGCTATATGTGCCCCATCCACAGGGCTCTCAAGCTGGTAAAAAGCGTCTTCTCCTGTTCCTGTTCGGAGCCCATAGGTTCTTCACAAAAGCCGTTCACATACGGGGTTTACAATATTATACTGTACAACTGTCAATGGTAAAATCGAACACTAGGCATGGTTCCTTTTCCAAGTAACATTCCAGTCGTTATTACCTCGTTTTTCAAATTTAAGATATTGATCCAAGTGTACTGGCTATTCTGGCTAACACCTAGTGATCAATCCCTTCCAGCTCTATATTTTCCCTGTCCGATGACAGATGACCATCAACCTGGACTTGAGCAACAGTCTCATATCTGGCTCCCCTTCGTAGAAAATACCAACACAGGGAGAGCAGACTAGCCTGGAGTACCAGCACAAGTAACCCAGTGCCAGCCATGGTGTGCCGAAATCCAGCAAGATCATGGATCCAGCATGCACGGCGAGAACCACATTCAATCTGCCACAGCTTACAGGTGGTGTCAATCAGACTGCCTGTTATGACTGGTGTTGGAATCACACCTTGAAAATGAAGAGTCAAAATACATACATGTGACTCGCTCTGAAAAAAATAATAAATACTTTTGATTTAAATACCTGAGGCTTCATGGGTTAATCTAAATCTAGTTTTAAGGGTCAATGCGATTAATTTTTCTTGGGAACACATTTTGTGCAACTTTCTATTCCTCTTAAATGTATGAAAACTATTTGACGTCCCTTTTTGAATAATTTTTTGAAAAGTGCACTTCTAAGGCCCCCAAAAAGTCTCCGGTTTCTGGTATGGAGCTTGCCCCAAAAGTGGTACGGCGACGCAGCTTCTTTTTTTTTTACCCAATTTTTGTTTTCTCTTCAAATGTCAGCTGATGTTGCAGATGACGCTTCGATCCCCTTAAAACTCTCAAAATATCCTTCAGAGTGCAGCTTGAGGTGGCCTCAATAAGGCCATAAGGCTTGAGAAGTATATTGAGCTAATTAAAAAGTGTTTACAGGTTCCAGATACACGACCATCGCTCCGTCAGTCTGGCATCCTGACACACAATTACAAAATTACAACACCGTCTGCAAATGGTGCCCGACTAAATTTAGTGCAAAATATATGGGGGCCCAGAGAGGCCACATAAAGCTTATACACAATTGTAACCCCATCTAAAAACACGTTAAAATTGTGCAGCAGCAGGATTCCAGTCAAACCAGTGAGTTTGGCGGTTTTGAGACCTCATCTTACATTGAAAAAAACACTTTTTAATTTTGCCGACGCGCGGGCATACCAGAAACCGGAGATTTTTTTTTTTGGCCTAACTACACATTTGAAGTTGTCCATGCTTTTCTGGCCAAATGAGAAGTTGCTGTGATATCATTTCAGGAATGTTCAGTTTGGGGATTTTCTGTTGTGAACATAAAATTTGCTCATTGAAAACATTTGTGAGAAAGGGTTGCTCACTGGCTTTACTGCATTGTTCTTATAAAAAAACGGAATCACCAAAGAAAAGAAATTTTATGACCGGAAAATATCCAAAATTCTGGCAAATTTTGGTGCAGAAATAGCTGTAACATTGAGGTTTCTGCACGGAATGACATCACAGTTTTGCTCATGAATATGGAAATTTGCATAGCATAAAAACCAAAAAGGCACCAAAATACCCTTCAATATGGCAAAACAAAAGTTGAAAATAATGTTAAATGGGACACAAAGGTGCATTTTCAAGGATTACACTAAAAAGAATTACATTGCATGAACCCTTTAAATCAGTGTTGTAATGAGTCACTGAAATTTGCGACTCAAGTCGAGTTGAGTCATTTGATCAACAAGGTTGAGTGAGTTGAGTCACAGTGTGTACTGCGGTCAAGTCGAAATTGAGTCAAAGTTTGGCTTGAGTCAATTCAAGTCACTAACATTTGAACACCATCTAATTAAGTGTCACAAAATGAGACAGATACTGGTTTATGATTCAGCATTTGTATTTATTTTGATGTGTTTGTTTGTTTGTTTTCTGTATCATATCATCTGTATCATAATGGCTTGCTAAAGCCCCTGTCACACAGTGCCGTTCTCTAGCCCTGTGCGAAATACGATGGTTACGACCCCCAAAAATATTGAAACGTGGCTAGGACGCGGGAAATTAAAAACAAATTATGGCTCCAGTCTGGGTTCCCAAACCATAATCTGTGTGTGCCCCGTCCTCATCTAGTCCAAGCAATTCTCAGGCAGTTCTATTCAAGACAAAAGTGGCTCACACTCTCGTCCCATAACCGTCCTCGTCCCGTCCCAGCCGTTGGCATCAAGTCTATCATGTGCTTATCCCATGCTAGCAACGGGGAGAGGTCTGGGTACGCACTGTGTAAGCAAGGTATAGACGTAGGAGAATCGTGAGTGAAAGACAGTCCTAATGCAGCTCCGTGCATGCAGTGTTCACAACGATGCTCCCGACTGCCATCCCGTCGGCCCCACGTCCAGGTCGTTTGAGTGCCCCATGCCCTGACCTTGCAGCGTCCTCACCCCGTTGTGAATAGGACGGGAGAGTCTCCCGTTTGTTTTGAACATGCTCAAAACAGTCGGGGCACTTAGCTGTTCTGTCAGGACCTTGCAGTGTCTATCACGACCTATGCACGAGCTCCCCGTTCAGAGCAGTTGCTGTCAAGTTCTCGTCCAGTTTCGCCGCTGTCTATGGTCATGACACCATCGGGATGACGGAACGGCACTGTGTGACAGGGGCTTTAACCTCTCTATGAACTGAAGGTTTCTATTGATACATGAACACTGAATGGCAAAAAGTGAATGCTCAATGGCAGAGCCATGGAGTATATATTAAATGTGAAAAGGATTTGAATTGAATGCTGTTTCTCATCGGTAGATCTGTGCTTAATTCACATTGACCACTGATTTACCAATCTATAAACTTTACTTACCAATCACATACTGGAGACACTTTGTGATACCATAGGCAAACGTCTTATCCCTGGTGTCAACACTCCTAATAAAGATATTGTCACAGTGTGTTAGAAATAGTGTTGTAGTCGAATCCATCACTAGTCCCTCCAAGTCCTCGACTACTACGACATCCAGGATACATGTATCATTGGAATAACTTTCTTGCTTTATTCATAAAGGTTCAGTCAGTTTATAATGCTTATTAAACCCTTATCAAAACTAAGCTGATTTCATCCTTGCAATGCTGCTCAAACTCTGCATTCATATTCAGACAAGGTGATCCAAGGATTGCACGTGTCACCTTTTTTGCGGTCGATCCCTATATCATGTTTTGTGTTCTTAAAAAAAGTCAAATTTTGTGCATTTTAAAAGAACGACCTCAAATGACACCTAGATGACCTTTGACCTCCAATTTCGGAAGAGTTGTGATGAACCCCCCCCCCCAGGATCACTCCATCCAAGTAAAGTTCAAAATCCATCAAGTTCTGCAGACAAAGAAACATTTGAAGTATATTTGAACAATGACCTCTGATGACCCCTACATGACCGCAGGGTTCTCCCCTTGAACAAACATGCGTATTGGCCCCATACACTGGAATTGCAGCCCAATACGCAGAAAAAATTGCCAATCACATTTTTCAGATCACATTATTACACACGCCATTAACATACACAATACAATCGTTACACACACTGTTATTTCATCTTACCAAGCAAAATCTTGACAAAAAGCCACATATTCTGACATATGTGTGATCAAAATGCACATGCATGACACTGAAGCTGTGTTGCCGTATGAGTTCAAGTGCCGCAGCGGCCGCCGGTAGGCCAGTGCCATCGTAAAAAATACCAAACAAACATTGATGGAGAAAGAGAATTCCTGCGAATAAATTCCCAGAACGTGATCTCTCTTTTCTGTGTATGTTTTTTCTATTTAAATATATTTATAATGAGGTTGTACTGCTCATACTTGAAGTGAAACAGTAACATATTCGGTCACACCACGTGGTTCGTTGCCCGCTACAATACACAGTGCAGGTATGTCGTGACTAATGTTGAGCATAGTGATGTGAATGACGAAAGGCATGTAATCGAGGGCAGAAGTTATTATTTTTTTCTTGGCCTTATTTCTTAATTTGGAACTTACTTTTAATCCATACTTTTTCAGTTCAGGGAGTTGCAATGTTTGTGTAATGTTGATTCTTTTTTCAATAAAATATTATAAATCTCCTCTGAATTTTAAGGAAAAATCTACCTTAAAGACCACCACAATTATTCTAAAATGCACCAGAGAGCTTCTTAAGTTAAAAATTTTTGCGGGGCCCTTAAGTTGGCCCCAAACCCCACGCCGTGGCTTTGCAAGTTGCAGGAATGAGATTGTTAATTTTAAAAAAGTCTGACAATTGGAAAACTTTTCTGAAAGATGCATTTCTTTTTATAGATATGTATTTCTCTCAGATTTAAAATGTCTGCTTTCAAACAAGAGTCTGACAAATCTCATGCCTGAAGTTGTTGAATCACGACAAAGCTTCCCCCCACAGGTTTGAAAATTCCTGGGGACAACCCTGAATTGACCTTTGACCTTACTAATCCGATGAAGAATTGTGTCTTCCCAACCAAGGGCTCACCGCATCTCTGTTTCATCCAAATTAATGAAAGCATGTAGAAGTTACACACTTTTGTTTAAAAACCTAACCTCAACTTTAACATACTTACAGGGATATGGTCACACAGAATTTAGTGTCCCCACAACTTTGTTTAGGTGCCACAACAAAATTGCTTAGCACTTTCATGAATATCAATGGACACAATTGTCTTCATAATATTGCTATTAACATGTACACCTCATTCAGTGTCAATGAGAACCCTCACAAAGGTTATTTAACATGGTTCCTACCTTACTACAGTCAAAATCAATGGTGCCCCCTCAGTTGAAAAAATGAAGACAAAGGTGATGACACATATGACGAATGGGATGAGTGTATTGCACTGATATGCACATGCTCCCTTTACTACAGCCCACACACTGCTGACTGAGGTGGCATTTTGCACAACATCGGATGATGAAAGGTCATCAACATGAAGACAGGAACAGTTCACAAATTGCTGAAGGTGAAATAATAATGATAGGTTGCAACAGATGATATGATGTATGTGAAACCACACAAGTACCCCTCTCCGTTTGCAAAGGGAGAGTTGGGGGAGATCACTGGGAGGGAATGCATCACTGTTGTCACATGATGTGTCCCACCCACTTGGGCTTTGGAAGTGGTAAAAAAAAGCCATCTACTGTGGGGGGGGGGGGGGGGCCTCGGGGGCGCTAATTCAGCCCCCCCCCCCCAAGAGGTCAATTTTCTTTCAGTCCCACGATTTGACATTGTGATATGAATATTAGAGTAGTATAATAGGGGTATAAATGGTGCCACCAACGTCAAAATGGTCCTCCCCCCCTCCCCCCAAAAATATTTTCTGCGGCCAAAAATTTTGGGCAACATTTTTTTTTAAATTCAAACTTCTTACAAAATTTGATTAAAAAAAAAATTGTGTGCCCCCAAGCCAAATCCTGGGTGCGGAGTGTGCATGGAGACCAACTATTTCTTTCTTGTACGTTTTTGCATTAAAAAAAATGTTGTCACTATTGTGCCTAAAGTTCAATAGATGTCTGTTTCACTTATAAAGTGCTTGTATTTGTAAACTTTGTGTTAATGTTCGTAGTCTGTTTCACCAATGTATTTTTTTTCTTGTGAACAGTACTTTGCTTAAATATATTTAATAATTTGTAAATGTATGCAGGGTCCCAATGGAAACCAGTTTAACTGTTTGGGCATACCCTGGCCTGGGTAAAGAAGCATAATAAATTAATAAAACTAGTTTGTTAGCTATTTTAAAGTTTCGTAACTAACAACCATGCATAATATACTGTTGAACTTAATCAAGAATAATTTACCACACTGAATCAGAAGGTACATTGTAGGATATGGAAAAGTATAAATAATACATTTTCATTGGCGAAAATTAGCCAAAATATAAACAAGTGATGATGCATTGCACTGCATTCTGCTGCTTGCAAAACATTTCAAAACACTGTGCTGATTAAAGAGTTGTCCATCAGGTTACACCCTTTCCAGTCCCTAACTTCATCAATTCTTGTTCCAGACGAGTCAAATCACTGACTTAAGGAGGAAAAAGGATCAATGTGATTACCAGCACAGACTTGACAAAAAGTCTCTTGTGTTGTCTCAATAGAAATAAACATAAATATTCAATACAAACCATGGAGTCCGCTGCGTCAAACTTCTGAGTACACCCAGCAAAGCATGGACTCATGTATGTGATTTGCTCAGCTTGGAAGCACACCATCTGAAATGTGTCATGTCTGCAATTACAGTCCATGTTGCAGGATGATGTCAAGTTAGGAATAGCTACTCTGAAATCAAACAAAGTGCAAAAACAACTGAGCAATCCATGGATCCTTACCAAGACTAGGCTTGCCAGGTGGAGCTGGACAAGAAAACATGAAGTCAGTAAGTCAGTAAGATGACCGTATGGGGGAGTAATTCAGTAAGTCATCAGTCAGTCAGTATGTCGGTCGGTAAAGTACCGGTAAGTCAGTGATGTTTAATATCAACGATATCACATACTTTACAGTCCACATGTGTTTTATTTGCTGCTGATGCTTTGATCTACACGTATTACCCAATTAGTTCCAACTCTGATGTCACTGTCCTCCAACAAGATCTTGATAAGATGTGTAACTGGTGTTCTTCAAATATTATGAAATTTAATGTCGTTAAGTCTAAACTTATGCACACAACTAGAAAACGTAACTTTACGCCTCCTGTTTATACATTGAGTGGTTCCCCTGTAATGTCATTTAAGTACCTTGGAGTTACACTGAATGCTCAGCTTGGTCTGACTGATCATGTCAAGGATATAGTCTCCCGTGCTAATAGAATGCCGAGTTTGATCAAAACTGTTGCTTTTAATTCGTCAGTTAGTGCCAAACTCTGTTTGTAGAAGAGCCTTGTTCTGCCTGTGCCTGCATGGTTACCTCATACTCATGGACAGGAGGAGGCTCTTGAACGCATACAGAGGCAGGCTACTCAATATATTTTGGGACAAAAAATTGGTGACTGCTCTATGTTCCGACACCCCTATGTTCAGTGGCGCACCCAGGATTTGATTTGGGGGGGGGGGGCTCACAATTTATTTTTTAGAAGTTGAATTTTTTTTTAAAAATTTTGCCCAAAATTTGTGGCCGCAGAATTTTTTTTTGTTTTTTTGGGGTGGGGACGGACTATTTTGACGTTGGTGGCGCCACTTACACCCCTATCATACTACTCGAAAATAGGCCACTTACATATCACCAAGGTCAAATCGTGGAACTAAAAAAAAAAATACCCCCCCCCCAAAAAAAAAAAAATTGACAACCTCTGGGGGGGGGGGGGGGCTCAAGCCCCCCGAGGGCCCCCCCCCCCCTTGGGTGCTCATGTTCCGACACCCTTATGATCCGACAACCCGCACATAAGATTGTGTTACTCCTGGTTCGGGTTAGGAATAGGAATATGTGCAGTCGGAACATAGGAATGTCGGAACATAGAGGGTTAACCCAAAAAGTTGGGGTTATGTCTTATACCGACATAGTTTGCTCACTGAACTGGCTTGCTCTTTCCAATCGTCGTAACATGCTGTTGATTTCCTTTGTAATTAAGTGTCTTTTAACTTAATTCGCTGTGATACAGTAAGTAATTATGTCCATGTTAATCCTAGGTATCCTGATGTACTGACATTTAAACATTTATATGCTAGGACCCAGACTTTACACACGAGTGCTATTCATCGATTCCCTAGGATTTGGTCTGCTCTGCCACCAGAATTTAGAAATTCTAGTATGTTAGATTCCCTACCCAGATTTCTTACTGCCCTGAGAACAGAGATATCTGATATAGTGACTTAGTTATTGCGCAATTCTAATTGTTGGGGGGGGGGGGGGTAGTGCCAGTTAGTGAATACAAGTACAGGGTTCGACAGTTAATGGGTGTGGTTTTGATGTCAGAGTGCAATCCCCTTTAGCATTTTTTAATGTCATGTGTATTATACTGTTATTTTTAATGGGGGGGGAATTCTGATTTTCTCTATTTTTGGTGTGAATAGGACCTTGTGTAATATATAGGGTGGGGTCATTTTTTTTTTTGCTTTTTGCTAAACTCTACCTTCCCATAAACTCGGTGCACAATACCGCCCGGGTGCATAAAATATGCTGCAGGTTTGTGCTCATTTTCTGTGCAAGCCATGCATGCCAGGGTTGGTGATTTTTGTATTTCAAAAAAATAAATATATAAATTAGATTTATAAATTAAAATTTAAAACGGATCCTTTTTTTTTGAACTTTCAAAATACTGATTTGTCTCAAAATCTGTCTACCCTTACACCCATCAACAAAAGAAACAAAGATTAATCGGAACAACTCCAACGAGTGGTCGGGTTGTGCCCGACCACTCAAAGAAAGAACTAGAGATTCGCGTTTGTTGTTACAAACGCAGAGTGGTTGGGTAGACAACTATTTGATGAAACACTGTATATTTTAATTTAGAATTTAGATTTTGAAATTAATTCCATTCCAGTACAATCAATTATTTTGTTTAAAAAAACGTCTTTGACGGTGTGATAAATTTCAGTAAACATTCTGTGTACATATGCAAGTTATATCTTGCTTGATGACGTCATTATTCCAAAACGGGAAGTGAATACTGACTGAGTTCCGATTGGATAAATGCTCATTGTGAAGTTAAATAATGTATGAAAATTTGGAAGTGTATGTATTCATAACACGTCTTCTACCTTCCGGTTTGATGACGTAACAGTATTGGAAGCAAAGGTGAAAATTGTAATGGATATCTTATTCGGGCTAAGATCGACATGGATCAATTGATAGAATTGCATTTAAAATATGATCATTTTCAAATTCTCATAGAAGTAACTTCCGGTATGATGCCATCATGAATTTGCAAACTTGCCAAGTTATCTGTGGTTAATCAAAGATGATCAAAGGGCCATTTGGTAAAATTTGAACGGATGGTTTTCAAATTAAAGAAAGCAAACACTATTTCATGTGCCGCTGGGGGCGCCCTTTAGAAAGATGACGTCATCACGCTATTTTTTTGTGTCTGGCATTCCTCAATAAACACTTTCACAATTTGTATGTGTGTAGTAAAATGCTTCCGCTTTTGAGTTATATTCGGTTATTATTGCACTTCCGGTAACACCGGAAGTGAAGGTCAAGCGGTTTTGTGTTACTCACGGCATAGTCTACAACCTCATGAAAAAACGAAAACGATTCTCTATTTAGTTCAAAAGATATAGCGCAAACTATTTTGTCAGAATTTGCCCTGAAATCGCTAGTAAATTGATACCTGATGACGTCATGATGACGTAACAAAATGTAGAACATCTTCGTTACATGGTACAAGTTCACACTAGGTTTTAGGATCATACCGTAAAGCGTTTGGAAGAAATTTTGCTTTGTTTTGATTTCAAGCTAACGTCTTCATTTTGATTTCACCTAACTTTGACCTTCCGGTAGCCCCGGAAGGAAAGGTCAAACGACTTTCAAAAATGGTTATCAAGGTATTGTCCATCAGATCACAAAGTATGAACGCGATCGTTCATTTTGTTCAAGAGTTATAATTGACGGAAAATTGTCATATTTTGACCAAAAATCGTTTGTAATTTGACACCCGATGACGTCATCGTAACATTAGAGTACCACCACTTGGGATGAGGGTTCATATACACTGAAAGTTACAAGTTCATATCATAAACCGTCTAGGAGAAAACCCGCAGAGAAGTATTGTCCGGAAAAAAAGAAAAAGAAACAAAGATTAATCGGAACAACTCCAAAGAGTGGTCGGGTTGTGCCCGACCACTCAAAGAAAGATTAATCGCAACAAATCCAAAGAGGGGTCGGGTTGTGCCCGACTACTCAATAATGGAACAATCTTATATAGCGCAAAACATAACAGAAAGAAATCTTGATGTGCTTTACAATTGGATATGACAAGACAAAGTTAGTGACATCTTTACAATGTGTAGACCTAGTTATAAGCCTGGTGAAATACATGTAGGTGAGATTTGAGGGTGGATTTAAACCAGTAAAAAGTGTCTATAGTTCGAAGAGGGGTTGGAAGGGCTTCCACAGCCTAGTAGACTTGTTTTTGGGTGTCATTGTGGTGAGGAGTCCCTGATGAGATGACTTAAGCATTCTTAAGAGCTCGTATGGAAGGAGCAGGTCGATAATGTATTTTTGTATTGGATACGCTGCTTAATGGGTAACCAATGATGGTCTTTGAGGATTGACCTGTGGGCGCATGCTAAGGTGACTATCAAAGATCACTCCTAGATCACGAACCGACTCGAAGGGTTTAGCCTAGCAGTCGCCAGAGGTTATAGGGATATCACTGCACTCTGTCTGGTGTGTGATGAAGAATGGTGAAGGGCTTCCATTTTGCCGTCTATAACTACAGTTTGTTTTCTGCCTGACAAATACGAACCAAACCAGTCTACGGCTGTACTCCAAATATTTGGTTCAGTAGGGTAAGCAGGATTGAGTGGTTGGTCTACAGTGTCGAAGGCTGAGGAGAGGTCCAGGAAAACGAGAACTGCCCCATCTTCTGTGTCCAGGCTGTGTAAGACATCATTGTAGACGCGAACCAGAGCTGTTTCGAGGCTATGATTGCATCTATCAGAGATGCCACCAATATATCAATAAAAAGCCTGAAACACTACTAAAAAATCTGAAACTGCCCTTACCCACTTTCAAAAATGTGTTTTCTCTGGATGTTTCAGACCAAATCCAGCACTTGTAATTTGTCACATTTTTTGAAAAAAAACCCTGAATTCAGGTTAAAACCTGAAAAGTGGCATCTCTGGTCTATAGGGGGACTGGGATGCAGCAAGCAGAGAGTGTTTGGTTGGTGAGAAGCAAGTTGCTGGCTGACTACTTGTTTCATCACCTGTGCAATGAATGGCAAATTGAAGATGGGTCTGTAATTCTGCAAGATCTCGGGGTTGAGAGTTGGTTTCTTAAGTAAAGGAGTGATGAGTGCAGACTTGACAGCTGATGGGAACACTCCATGCTGAAGTGACTGGTTCGTCATATCAGTTATCGCTGGTAGGAGAATATCGATACAGCTGCTAATCACACTAACAGCAGCAGGGTCGAGGGAACAGGTGCAGACCACGTACTTTATCTCTTCAAAGAAGCTGACAAAGTGTTGAGCAAGGTCACTCTTTGAGTTGCGAGACGGCAGAACCTGTGGAGGTTTTTCGACTGTCCAGCTCTAAATGACTCGAACAAGGTCACTCTGGCTACTATTTTTGATCTTTTCCTGATGGTAACTTTTCTTTGTGATCTTTAGCGAGGTTTGATACTCTGAGGTGGCTTGATGCATTGCCTGATAGTCAACAGCTAACTTTGACTTCATCCATTGCCTCTCTTTGGAGGGCTTCTTGCGTTTTAATGCTCAAAGAGATTCATTGCAAGCTTGCAAAATCGATGGCCCGGAGGTTGCGAAATTGATTTTTGTTTTTTGTGTAGTTAAGGTGTGATAAGGCAGCAAGGAAAATTACAGCCATGTGATCTGATGGCATGGCGTTAACAACAGACACACTTTTAAAACAGTGATCGTTTTCACTTACAATCAAAAGGTCCAGTGTGCCCAGGTGAATGTGTAAGTTGGGTCACCAACTGCTTGAGACCAGCAACAGAGAGGATATCACTCGATGACTGTCTCATGATGCTGCGGGCAATCAACGCGAATGTTGAAATCCCTGTATCTACACATTATATTACATACACATAATGTTGAAATCTACACATTATGTATTCAGATTTGCGACTTCTGCGACACCTACAACTGAATAGAAATTTAGTTCAATTCTGTTTTTCAAAGACCTTACCTGTTTTCACCGAAGTCATCATTTATGCCAGCTATGGATTGGTTGTCACATCCAAACACAAAGAGAAGTACCTGGAATACAGCAGCGGTGCAGACACAAGCCAAGCAGAGTTTGGTCTGGCCAACAACCTGTAGTTTCCATCGCCTGCACAGATAACCACCTAGGATACTACCCAAACCCAGGGCTGGTATCATGATGGCTGTTTGAAACACAAACATGCAGAGTTAACATGAAGAACACATTTAGGACACTCTTGTCAAATCACTTGCATGAATGACTCATGCAAGTTGACCAATTAAAAAATGGGGCCGTATCATGAGTCCGATGCCTCATAAGTCCGAAATTTTGGACTTATGAGGCGTCGGACTTATGAGGCATAAATTTATTTATTCCGCCTCATAGGTCCGATGCCTCAAAAGTCCGACGTCGGAAAAACAAGGCGTTTAAATTGTCAGACTTACGAGGCGTCAAAGCTATGAGGCGTCGGACTTATGAGGCGTCGGACCTATGAGGCGTCAGACTTATGAGCGGACCCCTTAAAAATTATGTCTAGGTGAAGATTAATCGCATCAACAACATTACCATTATACCACAAAATTCATTGGTTATAAACTGATCAAGCAACACACATCCATTTCATGAATTTGTATATGACCATCAGATGAAAACCGCAAAGTGTATTGGCTGCGTAAAAAACTTGGCTAAGACATGCAATTACACATGCAGCTGAATCCACTAACCCCAGATGCGTGTGTAAATGCCATCTGTAGCTAAGTAATTGGTGGCAGTGGCGGCAAATTGTTGTGTATTTTTTGTCCCTTCTGCTTTATACAACACGCTTAAATTAAAGTCTTGGCAATAGACCATGAACAAGAAATGTACACCTGAGTGTACCCATGCTAATGGGACATGCACAGGTGCTTTAGCCTGTGACTTAAATAAGATAAAATTCCTTAGGTTGTCAAAATAAAATAAAAATCATTCTCGAAAAGACTCAAAGGCCCATCAATCTTAAATAAATACCATTGTAGGTCCATAGATAAATACCATCGTACTACAAAAACACAGTTTTTTATACACCCTTTGAAGCAAATTGCATTTCTGCAAATTGCCATGGACCATGCCACTATAGAGAACATTGTATATTGGGACAATCTCAATAATAGACCATGACTTGATAAGACCTCACTCTTTGAAATAATACAATTAAGGTTCATTAGCAATGACATCTTGTACATGTATTATCTGACCCATGCCACCCAATCCTCGAACTTACCCACAAGAATATTGACAAGACTAGTTGGCAGGCCAAACTGTGACTCAATGTATTTTGGGAAGAAACTAAGTAGGCCTGTGATCAATCCAGAGGTTACAAATGCAAATGATGCCAGCAAGTAGGATCCATTAGTGAGAACCCTGAGCAGGGAATTCAACAGAGCTGAAATTATAATTAAAGAAGACAAAAATTACAATTCTTGACAGAAGCATCTGACGACCCTAAAAACACGTTATGAGGTTAGGGAGATGAAAATCGATCACGCATACTTTGCACCATATAATAAAACATACAAAATGTTTGCAGGAAAATAAAATGGAATCTGTTGAAAAGCACGGGCAGTACATCACTAAAGATGTACTACCTGTCTTCCTCATTTAGTTAGATTTTTTCTTCAAACAAATGTTGACTTTTAAACATTTCATGTAAATGAAGATACCCCTTTCCCCCTATTTTAACATCTGAAAGGCTATCGTTTTGTGCACAAACAGATCTGGCCTACGAGTTCGCTCGTACCCCCCACCCTGCAAACAGGACGCTGAGATACTCTGATGAATTCATGCTCTGATTGGTTGGATTTTGCGTTACCTGTCACCTGCGCGTCATCACGGTCTTGACTCTGCAAGGTTTGAAACGGCCGTTAAGACTGATTCATTAATCTTTTATTCCAGTTTAGAGATTTTTTTTTTCATTGAAAAGCGTAATAATGTAGGAAATTCTGTAAAACTTATCTGTATTGTAAATTCACAATTCCCATCACTTGCTCAGGCTCCGTTTCGAATCACGAACAATCGGATTGCATTATGCGATGCTCAAAATTTTGTCCACATGGTCCGCAATGAAACAGAAATCACATCTGGTATCGAACGTGTGCATTTCTATGGGAAGTTTTCGGATAGCATTTGCGCACATTATCTAACTGCGGTCTTGAACAGCTGCAGCCAAATGCTTTATACATAGGTCATAGGCCACTTCCTTCACAGGATTCTTTGAAGCTCATCAACGTATCCCAGCGTCCTGTTTGCCGGGTGGGGGGGGGGGGCAACGAGTGAACACTACGAGTAGCTTTATACCTGGTACCCCCATTATCGGTTCTAATTATTGTTGGGCTAAAAATAATTCAAAAACGTGTAAGTAATTATTCAATTGCTAAACTAAAATAGCCAATTTGGATGCAATTTTCTTTATCTGCATTTCCTAATCGAAATATGTATCGCTTGAAATTTGTGACAAATGTGACATCATACTACAGGTTACTTCTGGAAAGCGGGTCACGTTATAGCATTATCACCATTTGACACCAGAGTCCATTCCATTACATACATGTACATGTACCTTTAATCCCACCAAGTTTCAGTGTACTGAGTATGGGTTCAGAGCTCTTGCTGTCATCAGGTACTGCACTGTCGACATCATCATTTGCAATTCTCCATTTCCTTGGCAGCTGTTTTGGGTAACCAAGAAATGGAATCCCAGAGAGCACAAGAATAAATGCTACAAAGATGAACAACAACCACCAAGCAGATACCCATGCCTTATCAGTATGGGTTAGAGTTGTTTGGGTACGATAGAAGTCCACCCAAATCAGGGAAGCAGCTGAACTGGCCAGAAATCCAAGGACAACACCAATACCATACATGCTGGACACTATTCCTGGAATATCAGACAAGACCAATCAAATACTTTAGTGGTTGTCCAAATAACAGTAGTGTTTAACTATGAAAAAAGACACTACAGTACTACATGTATCAGTCAGAAGCATCGATGTCCTGTGACATTGGAGTAACAAAACCGAAACATACAAAAATAACAAATAAATTATACTGACAGACCTGTTATCAATAATTGACTATATAACTTTGCCCTCCCAAAGTGCAAAAATGCTCATTAAAATGTCTAGTCATCCTTTGTGCCATTTTTCAGGGAAGTACACAGGTATATTCATACAGTTTTGAGATAATGTATTATTATAACTGAAAATGGGACTTGGGGACTTCATATTAATTTGTAAATATTATTTAATTCTTTAATATTCCATTATTTTTTAAACAACTCAGAGATGGAAGCTCAACCAACAGATTCCGATCTTGAAAAATTATGAAAACTGACATGAACTAAAACAAAGAAGTTGACGGCAATAGCAACTTACCAAGGTAAAATCCAGCCCTGTTTGGTTTGACATTATCATCAATATATGATATGCCCAATGGCCTCGTTGGTGCATAACCAACGCCTGCCACAAACTGACTTATCAGAATTATAATGTAGGCTGCTTCATCGTCCAATGAAGTGCTTTCTGTACATTCTGCATATGATGATGTTGATGAATAATTAGTGCTGGCACTGCAAAGGTCATAATCATCTGAAAGAACAGATTCAGTCATATCTTCAAATTGACTGTGATGGTATTGATATGGCTCAAATATAAACTGTGGGATACATGTGGCAATCATTCCAAAGGCCATCAGGAAGGCGCTAGCTGCTATCCAACGTGGTCGATGGGTATTAGGTCTTCCACCTAGGTATGCTGCTACTGGCAGACCAAGCATTGTACCAATTTTATTTATTGTGACAACCATTCCAATTTGGTAGGCAGAGAGTCCATATCTGGTCTCCAGAGTAGTTAGAAGAGCAACTTGGATTCCACTAAAGAAGGCATCACAGATGGTAAATAAACAGAGGAGGACAACGAACACAACCGGGTTTACCAGTCTCTGTAGGCAATGGGGATGCCAGGAGCCAATACCAAAATGCTGACTGTCTGCCTCATTTGGGGCAACATCACCACTGACATCTGTCACATGTTGAGTATTTGCATCACACTGGCCTGAGCCTCCAGTCTTTAAGTTTTGTTCCCCATTAAAAGCCGTATCAATGCCCTTACTGGGAGCATTGGGTGAACCCTCATGATGCTGAGCAAGCTTTAAAGATGCCATCGCATATAATCTCAGAATGGTTGTAGGAACACGTCTGCACAAAGAATAACAAATTTAACCATAAAGATTTAGGACACTTTTTTTTTCATGGAAACTGTATTGTTTGTAAGGGGTTGGGAGAGTAAATTATTCAGACAGCATTCAGACATCACTTTGGCAATTACGTTCAGAATTTATTGGAATAATTCATCTCATATAAAGAAAAAAAATAACAGTGCTTTCAACATATCCAAAATGTGAGAATACCAATCTGGTCGGCAGAGAGACCATATCTGTTCTCCAGTGTGGTTAGAGGGGAAACTTGGATTACACTGAAGAAAGGCATCACAGATGGTAAATAAGCAAATGGGGATGCCAGGAGCCAGTACCAAAATGCTCACATTTTCTTATAATTCTATCAATGCAATTGAAAGTTAGCACTGACGTGTCTGTTTGATAAAGGGTACTGTTGGCAACACTGTGAAATCAACAACACAACTCTTTGACTTGTAAAATTTGTAAACGTCCCATAGGTTTAATCTGGTAAAATTGCTCAGCGCATCAAACTACATTTAATATCTAAACACATGATTTTGGCCCAAGGTATTAAGGTTTCTACAGTACAATGTATATGGATGACACCAAGTAATTGCCAAATATGACAGGTGTCAGCAAACTACATGTATATTTAATTGAGGGGATGACAGTGCCAAGTAGTAAGAAACGTGTACTAGCTTAAAACCAGAAAGGGGCCTCGTCACTGAAGCTTAATTGGGCAAAAAACAGGATAACACGCCAATTGAATGCACAGGTGCAGTCAAATCATATCCACATAAAGTATCACTATTTTGTCTACAAATTAAAGTTTCTGGCTAGTTTAATTTTTCTTTGTGGGGTTACAACCATCTGCATATACTGATATTTGGTGCACAGTGATGTTAATTAATGCACACTTGAAAATGATATCAGAATCATATTAAATCCATGCATATGCATAGATTGTTTATGGTTCTGCAGAGAATATTTATGGAAAAGAAAACTGAAAACAGTTATGTACAAAACAAGAGAAAAGAAAATGTTTTGTTTATAGGCTTTGGTTTGTGGTGTCATTATATTTAAACATGTTCTTGATGGCAGTCAGAAGGTCACACCCTTTCAATTCTACAGATCTGGTATTCACCCCTTTCAATTCTACAGATCTGGTATTCACCCCTTTCAATTCTACAGATCTGGTATTCACCCCTTTCAATTCTACAGATCTGGTATTCACCCCTTTCAATTCTACAGATCTGGTATTCACCCTTTCAATTCTACAGATCTAGTATTCACCCTTTCAACTCTACAGATCTGGTATTCACCCTTTCAATTCTACAGATCTGGTATTCACCCTTTCAATTCTACAGATCTGGTATTCACCCCTTTCAATTCTACAGATCTGGTATTCACCCCTTTCAATTCTACAGATCTGGTATTCACCCCTTTCAATTCTACAGATCTGGTATTCACCCCTTTCAATTCTACAGATCTGATATTCACCCCTTTCAATTCTACAGATCTGGTATTCACCCCTTTCAATTCTACAGATCTGGTATTCACCCTTTCAATTCTACAGATCTAGTATTCACCCTTTCAACTCTACAGATCTGGTATTCACCCTTTCAATTCTACAGATCTGGTATTCACCCCTTTCAATTCTACAGATCTGGTATTCACCCCTTTCAATTCTACAGATCTGGTATTACCCCTTTCAATTCTACAGATCTGGTATTCACCCCTTTCAATTCTACAGATCTGGTATTCACCCCTTTCAATTCTACAGATCTGGTATTCACCCCTTTCAATTCTACAGATCTGGTATTCACCCCTTTCAATTCTACAGATCTGGTATTCAACCTTTCAATTCTACAGATCTGGTATTCACCCTTTCAATTCTACAGATCTGGTATTCACCCTTTCAATTCTACAGATCTGGTATTCACCCTTTCAATTCTACAGATCTGGTATTCACCCCTTTCAATTCTACAGATCTGGTATTCACCCCTTTCAATTCTACAGATCTGGTATTCACCCTTTCAATTCTACAGATCTGGTATTCACCCTTTCAATTCTACAGATCTGGTATTCACCCTTTCAATTCTACAGATCTGGTATTCACCCTTTCAATTCTACAGATCTGGTATTCACCCCTTTCAATTCTACAGATCTGGTATTCACCCCTTTCAATTCTACAGATCTGGTATTCATCCCTTTCAATTCTACAGATCTGGTATTCACCCTTTCAATTCTACAGATCTAGTATTCACCCTTTCAATTCTACAGATCTGGTATTCACCCTTTCAATTCTACAGATCTGGTATTCACCCCTTTCAATTCTACAGATCTGGTATTCACCCCTTTCAATTCTACAGATCTGGTATTCACCCCTTTCAATTCTACAGATCTGGTATTCATCCCTTTCAATTCTACAGATCTGGTATTCACCCTTTCAATTCTACAGATCTAGTATTCACCCTTTCAATTCTACAGATCTGGTATTCACCCTTTCAATTCTACAGATCTGGTATTCACCCCTTTCAATTCTACAGATCTGGTATTCACCCCTTTCAATTCTACAGATCTGGTATTCACCCCTTTCAATTCTACAGATCTGGTATTCACCCCTTTCAATTCTACAGATCTGGTATTCACCCCTTTCAATTCTACAGATCTGGTATTCACCCTTTCAATTCTACAGATCTGGTATTCACCCCTTTCAATTCTACAGATCTGGTATTCACCCCTTTCAATTCTACAGATCTGGTATTCACCCTTTTTAACTCTATAGGTCTAATTTTTTTGGCCTTTTAAGTTCAATGTAGGGTCGGTCAGTCAAAAAATAGCATGTGCAATAGTGTGTATTGTATGCTTTTCTGTAGTTTTGTTCATTGTAAGAGAGTTAATCAGGATTTGCAAGGTAGACTGGATACGTTGAGGAAAAGCAACAACCTCATGGCATCTGAGATTTCATTGGTTGATACCCCGACAGTTTTATATATTCTTTGCAGTTTGATTGGCCAACTTTTATGTACATGAACAGAAAAAATGCCTATGCCTACATAAACAGTTATTAAACGCCCAGCAGTTCATGAGGTTGCCATCAAATAGACTTGATTCAAGTCAGACTTTTTATACGTCTATGTATTATGTGCTGCAACATAAACGACTCTTTCATTTTTGTCTCAGAAGGTATTAAAAAGTGTGGAACACAATCTGCAAAGGTTTTAAAAAATTAACTGAATGTTGTGCTAATTTGAAACAAACTTTTTTTAAATACTAATTGTAAGTACAATTTCGTCTTATTGCAATTGTGACTTGTGACAACAAAAGAGGTTGTAGACATTGTGGCAAACCTGTAAAGGATGTTGAGGTCCATGATTTGCCTTGCATGTACATGCGCACAATAAGCTGTTAACAATTTTTTAACATGTTGGGCTGGAACTGATGCATGAAGGTGCAAACCTCTTTATGTTCAACGTTCTGTAGCTTCTTGTCTTGTTTTTTTATAGATACTACTGTACCATGGGTGTGTTTCAGCGGCTTCTCTTCACTTGTCCCCCACCCCATAATCAATACCAATTAATATGGATAACACTATTAGTTATCCTGCGAGCGCGAGTGGAACACGGAATATTGTAGTGCGTCTTGTGTCCCACATACCACTCGGCCTTCGGCCTCGTGGTATGTGGGACGCAGACGCACTACATTATTACGTGTTCCACTCGCGCTCGCAGGATAACTAATAATGTGGTGCGTCTGTGTCCCACACGCAACGAGGCCGAAGGCCGAGTGGTATTTTGGACGCAGACACACAACATTTTCCGTGTTCCACGAGTGCAAGTGTGACAATGAATTTATCTTCAAGCAAATTTGACGCACAGTACCAACGTGAACTTTTCAGCAGTTATCCTACTACGCGTGCGTGTTATACGGAATGGCGCGCGCATCTTAAAATAGCGCAGTTCGCGGAGTGCGGTTTGGACTGTGGCCGTGCCACATGGTTATATGTAGCACGGTTTGTTGCCATAGATCAACTTATCCGGATTGAGGATTTAAGTTTATTTGAACATAAATGTTGTTACCACCATTGCTTCTGGAACATAAGAAATATGTATGGAAAATGTTTTAGTCAATTTGGCAAAAAGAAATAAAAGCAGCCGCAAACTAATTACTAAGAAAGATTGTTAGCATTGTTAGTATCCAAACCGGAAGCACCATAATACACGACCATTGACCAAAATGAAATCAATGAAGTCCACAATATCCCAAGCTCTCATACCTTTAGCATTGATTTATTTCTACTTTTTTGTAACTCTTCTCAGTTGATTTGTACATGATGTCCAACAAGGACCTTGTGTCCTCCTTATGTTATTCTTTTCTTCTTTGTCTTTGGTATACACCATAAATATGCACTCACATTCGTCAGAAGAGTACCTCCCATATATTACAACAGCTCTTTCAATTTGATCAATCTAAACAATTGAAATTATCGACAGGATCACTCATCTTAATATTCAATTTCAAAATGTCTTTGAGGAGGGTTTGGCATTCAGTTGTCAGTGGGTTCCCTTCCAAGTTGATTTCATGCAGAGTGAATGCAGCTGTTGTCAGGCACTGGCAGTCCACATCTGCATTGATAATGAACATTAAAAACGTACATGTATTAGCATGTTCACACAACACACCATGGTAAACGTTTGCTATCACCCACCTCTTTCTAAAATCTATTTAATTACTATTTCTAAAATGTATTTAAATTATATGAAAGCAGTTCTGCTTAAATTGATTTCAGAGTTCAATTTATTCAAATTCAAGAAAGGAGGCTCACTAGTTTAAGAAACTTTAAAAGCTTGATTTAGTACCGATTGATTACTTCACTACAGGTTCATTATGTTTTCACTTTGTGTTTACTATGCATGAGTTTAACTAAGGGGCCATTCAAAATTTTGATGTTTTTACATTTCAATTTCTTTTCGAAACTGTGGGTGGGTGGGTCAAGGTAGATAATTGAAAATCGAAATTCACTTTCATTGCAAAAAAAAAGCCCCCCAAAAAGCTAGATCTCTTGACTTGCCTGAACCACGCACCAGCGTTCCGATGCGCATTTGGTTTCCAACTTCGTCCCCATTTACAGACATCATGACCTGCAGTCTTGCTAGCGTTGCATGCACAGCGCACATGAATGAGGCATTCCTACAAGGATTATCATGGCTGCCACTATGGATGTCACAAGAGGCGAGATCTGGCAGATCTTTAGGCGCAGTTTTTGGACGGAGCAAAAGCTGTTCATGAATACTCATGTTTACCCTACGAACATTTTGTTTGTGCGTCCTGTTTGCTGTCCAAAAGTCCCAAAGAAAACAGCTATTCAGTGCGACCGCTCAGCAGCAATTGAAAATTTTCCAAAAGGACACGCCTGCCGCGCAGGAACGCCAGTCTAAAATATTGTGTCGTTTAGTAATAGTGTCCTTTCTTTAATTTGGGTCATGTCTTTTCCTTCCTCCATGATTAAAATGAAATATTTTTTTTAACATTCCACAATGAATTTTAGAAGACTTTTTAGGCATTAATAAGTTTTCTTTTGGGGTGAAAGTGAACTACGGATACCTACTTACAGTTAGTTTTGCAAATGAGGTTCATAAATACAAAGTCAAACAGACTTCTTTATTAACCCCATGGGCCCGGGAAGCGGTCATGGCCGCGGCCGCTAATCCTCATTGGAATGCAGTTGCCAGCTGTGGTATGCCGTGGCACACGGCTAGTGGGTAGTTCCACAGCTGCTGCTTTTGTGCAGTCCCGCTACCACACAAAGGCTGTGCAGTCATGCGGGCCACTTGCTCTATGTGTGGAGGAATGTCCCCATTATAACCCGTGCTTAAGGGGTTAAGATGACTTTATAAAAAACTGTGAGCAATTACCGGTAGTTCTATGAAGAAAATGCTACTTTCTCACTTGTCTGGTTTTTTTGGGTGTGTCTTTTAGCAGATAGGCCTACCGTAGGCTTAAACTTCAAAGGAGTTTGAGCCACAGAACACATTTTTTGTTCTCTTTATGGAACAGGTTCTGGAACTACACTTTTTTATTTCGGTAGTAGGGCCTTGAAAAAATTTCTTACTCAGGCCACCACATTCAAATTTTTATTTTTTTTTAAATTCCCAAACAGGTTATTTAAAGGGGCAACATTTATTGGGAGGGGGGCCAGAGGGCAAGAGAACTAGACACGCATACATGTACATACATATACATGTAAGCATCTAACTCAAGTTGTCATCCGGAGACCATTTACCTTTAACTCACCATGGTGACCTTGACCTTTGACCTTTTGACCCCAAAACCAATCCCATCTTACCTACTCCCAAGGGCAACCCCCTACCAAAGTTAGACGGCAAATTCTTATTTCTAACTCAAGTTATCATCCGGAAACCATTTACCTTTAACTCCCCATGGTGACCTTGACCTTTGACCTTTTGAACCCCAAACCAATCCCAACTTGCCTACGCCTAAGGGCAACCCCCTACCGAAGTTACAACCAAAACAACATTGCTAACTCAAGTTATCATCCGGAAACTAAGCTGCCCGGACGGACGGGCGGACAACCGGGCGGATGAGACAACCGGGGTGATGGCATTGTAGTCCTTTATCCCTTTTTCTAAAGATTTCACATCCGGGGTAATGTTTTTCTATAGATTTCACATGTGGGGTGATGTCCATGAAAGAAAATCACCCCACATGTGGGGTATGGTCAGGGCAGATGGACGGACGGACGCCGTCGGCGATGACAATACCCCTCGAGCCTCTCGGCTGAGGGGTAAAAATCTAAATTTAAAGCATTGAAAATTTTGAATGGCCCCTAAGGTGATTCAGAGTGGTTTGGAGTCTAAACGCTGATAATGACCTGAGCCGAAGGCGACGGTCATTATCAGTGTCCACACTCCAAACTGGTCTCAAAAAGGGACTTGATTTCATAGTGTCCAAATTTCATGTGACACTGGAAAAGCGTTTACTGAAGACCAGCGGGCCGGTGTTTTATCAACCTTTAAAACCGGCCTTGTGATGGGCTCTCGACCTATAGGAATGGGTAAACTGTCTTAGGTATTTGTGAATATGGGTTCACTACAGGTTCACCTAAGGAGTCACTGTGAGTTCACCACAGGTTCACTATGGGTTCATGTAAATGATTGAATGTGATAAACACACACAAAAAATAATCACAAGAAGAACATCTACATTATAGAACACCAAACATGTTGTTCCTGAAAACATCCTAGATGACCCCTACCAAAATGGCCAGGTTTACAGTAAACAATGAAATGGGTTCGCCATAATTTTTGTCCCAGAATTACTGTATACCCAATTCACAACTACATACATGTATGCAACGTTTGCTTGAGGCATGTACAAACAATCTTCTTAGATGAAAAACACTGAACACATTTCTTTGATCGTAAATACACTTACAAGTTACCTGGTCTAATCAGAACAGACTGGCCTCAAAACATCATTTAAAATAACAGTGTTGCTGTTGAAACCCCTCAGCCAGAGTCAATTTATCATCCGGGAACCATTAACCTTTAACTCAACATGGTGACCTTGACCTTTGACCTTTGACCCCAGAACCAATCCCAACATGCCTGTACCAATGGGCAACCCCCTACTGAAGTTAGACACTAAAATCTCATTTCCAACTCAATTTATCATCCGGAAACCATTTAAATTTAACTCACCACGGTGACTTTGACCTATGATCTTTTAACCCCCAAAACAATCCCAACTTGCCTGTACCCAAGAGCAACCCCTACCGAAGTTAGACAGCAAAATTGTGATTTCTAACTCAAGTTATCATCCGGAAACCATTTACCTTAAACTCACCACGGTGACCTTGACCTTTGAATTTTTGACCCCAAAACCAATCCCAATTTGCCTGTACCCAAGAGCAACCCCTACCGAAGTTAGACAGCAAAATGTGATTTCTAACTCAAGTTATCATCCGGAAACCATTTACCTTAAACTCACCTTGACCTTTGAATTTTTGACCCCAAAACCAATCCCAACTTGCCTACTCCCAAGGGCAACCCCCTACCAAAGTTGAGACACCAAAATCTCATTTCTAACTCAAGTTATCATCCAGAAACTAAGCTGCCCGGACGGACGGACCGACGCACAGACGCCGTAGGCGATGACAATACCCCTCGAACCTCTCGGCCGAGGGGTAAAAATGACCTCAAGACCCATGAATGGATGTGTGCTGACCATCCATTCATGGGACATGAGGGTAGAAAGAGAAGAGTGAAAGCGGGGGTAGGGAGAGCACATCTGTCTTCTGTTTGCAAGAATACTTCGTTATGAATTGTTGTCTGATTAATTCTAATTAGAATTAATTCTAATTGTTGTCTGAATGTCTTACCTGTAATACTGTTATTCTGAAGATTTAAGCTCGTTAACTTTGGAAGGCTGGAAACTAAAGTTGCTGGGAAAACAACAAGGCAGTTGTTAGATGCATTGAGAGTGTGAAGATCCAGCAATTGTGATAACCCATCTGGAAGACTTCCAAATCTGTTTGATGACAGGTCAAGAACTGGTAACAAACAAAACGAAAACAGAATATTAAAATACAAATGAGAATCCAAATTAGACTGAACTATAAGTGGCCCCTTCCGTTGAGAAGGTCCCTAAACATGTGTCCCTCACTCCTATTCCCCCTTTAGACTGGTTCACACTTCATGTGAATGCAAATGCAAACCAAATTGACGTCAAGAAACATTTACAGTCAAATTTGATAGAGTTGCAATGCATTCAACTTTTGCGAATTCACAGCGCGAATACATGTTTTGACATCACAAATTTGTATTATTGGTACATGCACTTTCAGGCCAAGTTCACGCCGAGTCTGAACCGACCTTTACCCATTCTGTGAAAGTCCTGGCTTTTTCTGTCATGACACCTCACCCACAGATTCGATTATCAGAAAGTGTTCCATATGGTATTTGTTATTTTGTATTTTTTACCATACACAGCCAAAGACTATGCCACGGTAGCCTTGCACTGAAAAAAATTTAATACTACATGTGCATTGCAACCAACATAGCAACCAGATGTCTGTGTGCCTTGTACGTGCATATACCATTGTTGTGTATGGGATAATGTCAGCTGATGAAAAATTAAATTTATTTGCACACATATTTTCATTGGTTGCAATGAGTTACCATTAAAACTCAAGAATCATTGAGTTTTAAGTTAATAGGTCTGGGAGCTAGACATGGCAATGCAAGAAGATCCCGGATGTTTGTGCCCACATATGGTATAGTTTTGAACTTCTCATACACTACAGAACTGGGCACAAACATTTAGAAAAAACGGTACCCCGCAACGAAATCTTTAGAAATAGGGACAATTGGACAACAATGGAAGTACCCCAGAAGTCCACGCCGTAGGTGATGACAATACCCCTCGAGCCTCTCCGCTGAGTGAGGAGTAAAAATCAACCGATGAAGTTATGACCTAACTTCAGATTTTGCATAACAATAACAACATCTCACTGTCTGTCGAGTTTCGTAACGATCCGATATTGGGTAATATGTGATTTAAAAATGGCTTTTGATGATGTCATCATAACGTCCGACTTTTTGTGTAAGTATGTATGATCTCATGAACATGTTACAAAAAGATTTGTGAATTTAACGTGCTGCATTCGTGACATACAGCAACACACCTCAAAATTTAAAAAAAAATCCATTTAAAATCATACGATGACGTCACAACAACGTCACCTCAAATTTCGCGTATAACACATCCCGATGTAGGTACATGCAAAGGATCAACCCAATCGGACAAGTAATTCAGGAGATATTGGCCTGCAAAGAATGCAACTTTACAGCCGTGTCACGTGACCAGCGATGACGTCATCGTGACATCATGGTTCGGCGCACGACTTCAGATGGTGATCTTAGAGTATGCCAATTTGGAAAAAATACCGAAATCATAAAAACACCAAAATAAAGGCTATTGCGTAGTTTATGGACCAAAAGTAGACTTCTGTGAATCCTAATGACACTGGCTTTTGAAGTTTGGAAAAGTTTTTTAAGTTGGAAAAAAATTAGTTTCTTTCGTGAGTCATGTTTTAGCTTGGTCAAAACTACTGTCGCCAGGTGCATATTAACGTGTACAACGTGGTAATGCGCAATCTTGCATTTTTTTCCCACTTAACCCTCGATTTCCTTCAAAAAACCCATGCAGTGCATTTAAGACTTGGCTGTTTGTTCGGAATGTGGTACAAGTAGATTGCATTCATGCATTGGGAAAAGTGTCCTAAACTACAACATCGCTCAAAAAGACTGAAAACAAAGGCTGTTTGGGCAGGTTGCTGAAACAGCCTATAAAAATAATAATTACTTTTGTATTTAATCAAAACTGGGTGGAACTCTTCGGTCACAGGCAGCCACTTCCCATGCTTTGAAAATTAAAGTTATTGAAGTTAAGTGTCAGTGTTAACATGGGCGTTGCCAGGATTTTTTCTACAGGGGGGCAAAACATATTTTCCCCAAAAATTCCTGTATTTCTCAACATATTCTCAATTTATCAGTTTTAGAGGGGGCCAGGGACATTTTGCCCCCCCCCCCCCACCCTTTAAATTTACACCAATATGACTTTGCGCCTCTTTTTCTTTTCTTTTTTTCTCTTTGTTTTCTTCCATGGCTTTTTTTTGGGGGGGGGGCTTTTCCGGTGGGGGGGGGGCAAGCACCCCCCTTGGCCCCCCCTCCGAAGTCCATGAGTGTTATTATTATGTCGTCCATTGGAACAAAACTATTTTCATGCGTATGAGCGAAATCAGAAGAAAAAATATAAAACCAACGAAAGCCCTCATGTTCAAAACTGCTCTTCAAGACTACAACCATAACCACGTCTCACCTGCTATGAGGAAAGAGCCAATCGCTCCAGACATTGATCATCACAGCCAATCAGCCAATTATTTATTGTTTTATTATCTATGCTGTTTTCTTATATTTGATGTAGTTAGATCTCTTTTGCGTTAAGACTGTATTTTCCAAAACGGACCAATTTACTGGTAGACAGGGCTCCTCTGTTAAAATCACCAAAACATTTTATCCTACATACTTGTTCGGTAGCCTTTGCAGAAAGATTCCTTAACACGTTAGGCGACCCAGGCGATTCAGAATTACCAGTTATTTGCAGATTCATATCACTTAAAAGGGGTCACTCCTACATGTACATGCACAGAAAAGTTACTCCAGAACACACAAAATAGTTCTTGAGGCCACAAAGCCTTTTGTATCCGACACATCCAAGTTTGGGCTTCACAGCGTTATGGTAGGTCTGGCAGTGCATCCGCAACAAGCAAGACTCTTGTACCTCCTGCACTGATTTCACATCAAGGAATATGGAAAACAGAAAAGGCTTGAAACGCATACAACCCAACCATAAAACCAACCTTATCCCCTCAAAATCTCTCAGCATATACATGTACATGTAGTCAATTGAAAGTGTACTGTGAACTGAAAGCATTGAGTGAGTGAGTATACTTATTCGCAGCAGACTATAGATGATATTGGAATTTTTGTGTGCAATGTTTGAGAATTAGTAAATATAGCAATAAATGAGCAAGTGTCAGTGCTTGGGCCTGTTAGGCATGACCAAACCTGATTTCGTCATTTCTCTTCTCTAATTGTTTGTTAAACCATTGCTTTGACGTCACACTATTGTTAGAAGTGTGGATTCGGAACTACGAATCTGTTACGCTGGTCACAAAGTGTGAATTCGGAATGAAGAATATTTAGTAAAGTGTGGATTCAGAATTACGAATCCACACATTGAACACGTCGGACAATTGTTCTCCATAATGAGCATTAATAGGACCATATGCGTGAAATCTTTCCTTCCGAAATTACCAATGCATCTTCACTGTCAGATTCTCTGCCGTCACTGCAAAACCTACTTCGAGTCAGAAGGAAATCATCATCTGAACTATCCATAGGCCCTATGTCGACGAAAGGAGCCGGGAAAAATTTTGCAACCTGATGCCACTTATTTTCTTCATATATCATCTCAATGAAGGTCATTCATAGCAAAATGATGATAAGACATGAATCTGGGACTGAGAAATATTTCCAATTTTGTTAGGAAATACTTACAAAAATTTCTTGACTCTCCATAGACTTTGTACACAATCGCGGAAGTGGCATCAGGTTGCAACATTTTTCCCCAAGTCTTTTCATCTCCACTCACTTTAATGCCCATACTTCTTTTGACGCAATGGTTTAAGTCGCAGAATACACTCGCAAGTGTGGATTCTTAATTTACGAATTCACTCGGCGCTTCGCGCCTCGTGAATTCTTAAATTACAAATCCACACTTTCTCGTGTATTCTCCTTAACGTATTTATTTACATGATGAAGCCCAAGAAAAGAAACTAGTTTTGTGATGGAGGAAAGGAAGAAGAAATTGGATTTCTTGTTATATCATCATACCTTTGAAATTTATGGGTATTTTCAGTTATCCAGACCTTGTAACGTGAAAGGTAAAATACAAACAAATTTGCAGATGAACTTAATGTGTACTTTTAACAAGGGCGGATCCAGAGAGGTTACTGCTGGGGAGGGGGGGGGCGGAAGGACTCCCACAAGCACCCCCCCCCACCACTGTTTAAACACTTGCAATAATTACTGCTCCCAAACTCTTTAGATTTTTCCATTCATTCAGCCCCAAATCATCGTGTGAAGAATAAAAATAAATAGAAGAGCTTGGTATGCACCCACGAATCCACATCAACATTACCTTTCAAATGGATAAATGTGGTAGCAAACTTTGCTGGCAATTTCTTCACTACATTATGTGACATGTCACATGACTGGATAGCGGTATGCCTCATGAGATGGAAGACAGCATCAGGCAATGATGTCAAGAGGCAGTGAGACAGGTCTGCATTATAAACAGAAAATGCTGATTAGTACTTTTTTAGGAGCGTTTGATAAAGGAATTAAATAAAAACAAATTAGAAGAAATCAAAATATAGTGAGCATCAAGTGTCACAAATGCAAATGTGCAAGGTAAAACAACTTTGCAATTTACTAACAATGGGTTCACCTACAGGTTATACACTGTAAGGACCAACTCAAATTTGGACAAAATTGTTCCTTGCTTGCATCATAAAAACACACATACATTGTATATCAAATCTTTTGCCAAATAACAGTTATTCAAAAGCAATTCATTTTTAGTGAACAAGACACCAAACTGATAGCACACTCAGACAGTGTGTGTACCACAAACCCACACACATGGTCCGCTACCTCCACAACCCATCCTTTCATCACCCAAAGATCAAGCCGTCCATCAACCGCACCCTAGTGAGGAGAGCATACAACATCTGCACTCGAGAACATCTGCAGCAAGAACTTCACCAAGTCAAGACAGCACTGCCATGCAACGGATACATGGCCAACCGAATCCAGACCCAAGATTCAAGACCATCTCCTGGCCAAAGGGTCTCCAATACCCAAGGTCTTCCATACTGCACCCGACAAGATCCGCAACATTCTTTAGTCCTATAAGGACAGGCAG